AACCAAATAGAAGACAATATCAGGGGATCCCTTTGGATTTGAGAGACAACATAATCTATAATTTGTTATACCAGCCCATTTGCTGAAGGACCCAAAAAACTGCTAGTTTAAAAAGAAGGCTCTGAATCAGGCCCAAGATGCTCTGCTACTTGGGCTATACAATCCAGTAGATCCAATGGTGTTTGACATGTCAGTGTTCAATAGGGATGCTGTTTGGAGCCTTTAGCTAAGTAATTTGCAGAGCCAACCCTTAGAATGTTGGAGCAAATCTCTGCCATCCTCCATGGATAACTGCTCTCTCATCAAGAAACAGCTGTTGGCCGTAAACAGTTTTAGCAGAGACTAAACACTTAACCATGAGCCATCAAGTTACCATGGTACCTGAGCAGCCCATCATATACTGGGTGTTATCCCATTCACTAAACCATTAAGTTGGATGTGTACAGAAAGACTCCAATGTCCAAGGAAAATAATATGTATTTGATAAAGTCCAAGCAGACCTCAAAGACATAAGTAAGTTTCATGAAGAAGCGTCCCAAATACCCACAGTGCCCACTCTTGCTACACTCTGGTCTTTCTCTATCTCTCTTTCTCAGCTTGTACTGAGTAAAGCAGATTGGCCTCCCCAGTGTGGGTGTGCATTATCCAGTCCAATGAGGGCCTGAACAGAAGGAAAAAAGGCACAGAAAAGAGATCGAGATCTCTCTCTCTCTCTCTCTCTCTCTCTCTCTCTCTCTCTCATCCCCCAACCCCACAACTGATTGATCTGAGACATCAATCTTCTCATGCCCTCAGACCATTGACCCTTGGTTCTCAGGTCTTCAGACTCAGACTGAAACTAGCTTTGATAGGTTTTCAACTTGCAGATGAAGGTCATGGGATAGCTCAGCCTCCATAGTTGCACAAGTCAATTCCTTATACTAAATTAATAGGTAGATGATAGATAGATAGATAGATAGATAGATAGATAGATAGATAGATAGATCCTATTGCCGCAGTCCGGCTGCAGCAAACTAACGGGGGGGTGACGAGCAACTTGTGTACATTGATACACCAGGAGTGGGAGCCGTTTATTGTAGGACAGGAAGGGTATATATACATTACACACAGCTTATCTTAATTAACATAAACTAGATACAGCAGTCAACCAATAAGGAATCTCCACACTTAATGGCTCGCTGGCGTTACTTCACAAACCACTCCCTCTGGCAAAATGCCAGGCGCCATCCTGACTTGTTTACAGACCCTAACATCCTATTGGTTCTGTTTCTCTGGATAAATGTTGAGATCTAGATTTTATTCAGAATTCAGTGTACTTAAAGGACCTATTTGGAACAATTGGGAAAATTTATGTATGAACTATAAGATAATAGTATTGATTTCAAATGGTTTTCTTAGGTGTAGTAACAGTGTTTAGAGAATATCTCTGCTATGGAAATTTTATACAAATGCATTTGGAGACCAGGAAGGTGATTTGTGCAACCTCCTTTCAGATAGTTTGGTAAGAGAGAAGAATGGAGGCAGGGAGAGAGGAAAGAAAAGGAGAAGCAGCAGTTGTGACAATACATTACCAATAGGTGAATTTAGAAAAGGTGGTACCAAAGTTCATTGCACTCATCTTTCAACTTATCTGTGGGTTTGAAGGTTTTCTAAATAAATAACTAAGTACTTTAGTCAAATATTGAGTACCTATTAAGTACCAACTGCTTGAGAAGAAAATATATAAAACAATCCCTGACAACTCTGTAAGATGGGTATTATTATTCCCATTTACATATTCACTCAAATATTTGAGAAATTTCTTTGAGGTAAACATTATATCTGTGGCTGGGAAATAAAGCAGTGATAAAACAGATAAGATAGTTCTTCATAAGATTTACATTCTAGTAAATAAAATGGGGGCAGGAGTTGTAGCTCAGTGGAAGAGCACTTGCCTAGTATGTGAGAGGAACTGGGTTCAATTCTCAGCACCACATATAAATAAATAAATAGTCCTTCAACAACTAAAACAAAATTAAAATTTTTAAAAATAAATAAAATAAAATGGGCTATGAAGAAATAAACCACTCAAAGAAAAACATCAGAACAATGGCTGATTAATAATAGAAATCAATGGCCTTTACATATATAAACAAAACAATTGCAAATGTAACTTTTTAGTTACCCTATTGACAACAGGAGTAACAACAAGTTTTTAAAAAGATGTCTCCAAAAATCCTTTAAGAATTGCAAAATCTATATTTTAAAAATTCTTTAAAACACTACAGAAGAACACAAAATGTAATTTTAATTTTAAAAAAAAAAGAAATAGCAAGTCCTGGGCTATTAAAAAATCAACAAAGAAAGGTTAGTTCTACCAACTTGATTCTAAAATATGCATAGAGCCAGGCACAGTGCTGCATGCCTGTAATTCCAGTGACTCGGGACCTGACTCAGGAGGACTGCAAGTTCAAAGCCAGACTCAGAACTTAGCAAGGCCCCAAGCAACTTAATGAAACCCTGTCTCAAAATAAAAAAATAAAAAAGGACATGGATGTGGTTCAGTGGGTTCAATCCCTGATATAAATAAATAAATAAATAAATAAATAAATCACACATAGAAAAATTGATAAGCAAAAAGAATTTTTAAGAAAATTCTAATAAAGAAAAGTATTGGATGGTTCTATTGGTGTTAAAATATATTATGAAGTAATAATAATTTAAATAGGATAGTTTGATACATGAATAAGCATGTTAATCAATGAAACATATTAGAAAGCAATAAATCAGCTCACATACATTAAGGAACTTAATATATGATGTAGGCAGCATTTCAAATTAGTTCAGAAAAACTGTGTTATTCAATAAATGATATAGTGACAATAGTCACTGATAGAAAGGTCTAATTGGATACTCTATCACATTTTTTATAATAAAATAAATTCCAAAAGAAATATTTAAGCAAAAAATAATTAAAATCATCCATGTACTAAAGAAAAATATGGGAGATTTGTTTTTGTGTAATCTTGTAATGAAGACAGAATGATTCTGAATTATATAAAATCCAGACTTATAAAAGAAAAGATGACAATTTGATAGGTAAAATCAAAAATTTCTCAAAAGAAAAAAAAATTCTACCATATACAAGTTAAGAAAAAAAAAGAGAAACTAAATTTTCAGCTTATATTACACTCAAATGACTAATTTATTTAGCATATGAAAATTTTTTCTCATATAATTATTAATAAAAAATCAATCATCCATTTTTTTTAAAAAAAAGGGTAAAGGCCAGTCACTGACATACCACAGAAAAGGAAATACACATTGCTCTTCAGCAGGTAAAAGATACTATCATTCTTAATATGAGAAATGCAAATTAAAACCACATGAGAAAAGATGTTTTACTTCTCTGATTAGCAAAGATCAAACATAACAAAAAAGTGTGTTTGTGAAGGTGGAGAGAAAATGAAACTTTCATATGTTGCTGGTGGGAGTATAATCCATTGATTTATATATAGCCATTTGGTAATATCTCCAAACTTTCAAAATGCACAAAATTAGCCAGGCACAGTGGCACAGGCCTGTAATCCCAGCAGCTTGGGAGGCTGAGGCAGGAGGATCCCAAGTTCAAAGCCAGCCTCAGCAAAAGTGAGGTACTAAGCAATTCAATGAGACCGTGTCTCTAAATAAAATACAAAATAGGGCTGGGGATGTGGTTCAGTAGTCAACCAACCCTTAGTTCAATCCCTGGAACCAAAAAAAAAAAAAAAAGCACAAAATTACATATTCAAAAAAAGAGTCATTGCAGAACTTTTTAAAAAGACAAAAAGGAGAAAATGAACTAAATTTCCATGAATAGGAGACTATCTAAATAAATTGCCAAATCCACAATATAGAATTCTATCAAGTACATTAAAAAAACGAGACAGCCAGGCCTGGTGGCACATGCCATTGGTCCTGGCTACAAGGAGTCTGTGGTAGGAAGATCATTAGAGCCCTGGAGCTTAATATCAGCCTTAGCAACATAGTAATACCCTGTCTCAAAAACAAACACAAAACAAAAAATGAGGCAGTTTTAATGAATATGGAAACAGAAAGAATCAAGATATATTGTTAATTGGAGGAGAAGGTAAGTTCAGAACAGTGTGTCCACTATATTATAAATTGAATTAAATGTGAGTATATGCACTTATATCTGTACAGGTTTATATATAAACAGATTGTATCTGGAAAAGCACACAAAAAGCCAATGTTTTTTACCAGGAATGAAATTGGGTACTTTGAGGGTCAGGGGATAGAGACCCTTTTTTTCACTGATATGTCCCTTTGTTACATGAAACGTCTGAGGCTAGTGCCAATGTAACATGGTACACTGTTTCGTAGTAAAATGTTTTAATAAGTAGAAAAGAACACTTTAAAATAATGATAAAGGGGCTAGGGATGTGGCTCAGTTGCACAGTGCTTGCCTAGCACACGTGAGGTCCTGAGTTCCATTCCCAACACTGCAAAAAAGAAAAGAAAAATGATAAAAAGTATAGTATAGTAAACACATAAACCAGTAACATAATAATTGATTATAATTAGCAAGCATTATGTACTATACATAATAGTGTTGCTATACTTTCATATGACTGGCAGTACAATAGCTCTGTTTACAGCAGCATCAAGACAAAAATAAATAACACATTCTGGAAAAAATTGACAAAACAAAAAGTTGGTTCTTTGAAAAAAATAAATGAAATTGACAGACCCTTAGCCACGCTAACGAACAGAAGGAGAGAGAGAACTCAAATTACCAGCATACGTGATGAAAAAGGTAATATCACAACAGACACTATAGAAATACAGAGGATAATTAGAAATTATTTTGAAATCTTATACTCCAATAAAATAGAAGACATTGAAGGCATCGACAAATTTCTTAAGTCATACAATTTGTTCAGATTGAGACAGGAAGATATACACAATTTAAACAGACCAATATCAAGTGAGGAAATAGAAGAAGCCATCAAAAGCTTACCAACCAGGCTGGGGATGTGGCTCAAGCGGTAGCATGCTCGCCTGGCATGCGTGCAGCCCAGGTTCGATCCTCAGCACCACATACAAACAAAGATGTGTGTCCGCCGAAAAACTGAAAATTAAATATTAAAAAAAAAAAAAAGCTTACCAAGAAAATCCCAGGACTGGATGGTTACACAGCCAAGTTCTATAAGACCTTTAAAGAAGGACTAATACCAATACTCTTCAATTTATTTCACAAAATAGAAAAAGAGGCAGTAATTCCAAACTCATTCTATAAGGCCAATATCACCCTGATCCCAAAACCAGGCAAAGACAAATCAAAGACAGAAAACTTCAGACCAATATTTCTAATAAATATAGATACAAAAATTCTCAATAAAATTCTGTCAAATTGAATGCAAAAACATATCAAAAAGATTGTGCACCATGATCAAGTGGGATTCATCCCAGGGATGCAAGGTTGGTTGAACATACAGAAATCAATAAATGTAATTCATCACATCAATAGACTTAAAGATAAGAATCATATGATCATCTCAATAGACACAGAAAAAGCATTTGACAAAATACAGCACCCCTTTATATTCAAAACACTAGAAAAACTAGGGATAACAGGAGCATATCTCAACATCATAAAGGCTATCTATGCTGAGCCTCAGGCCAATATCATCCTAAACGAAGAAAAATGAAGGCATTCCCTCTAATACTTGGATCAAGACAGGGACATCCTCTTTCATCACTTCTATTCAACATAGTTCTTGAAACACTGGCCACAGCAATTAGAGAGATGAAAGAAATCAAAGGGATATGTATAGGAAAAGAAGAACTTAAATTAGCACTATTTGCTGACAATATGATCCTATACCTAGAAGACCCAAAAGAACTCCACCAATTGCAATTCCCATTCAAAATCCCAATGGCATTCCTCATAGAAATAGAAAAAGCAATCATGAAATTCATCTGGAAAAATAAGAGACCCAGAATATCTAAAGCAATTCATAACAGGAAGAGTGAAGCAGGTGGCATCACTATACCAGAACTTAAACTATACTACAGAGCAACAGTAACAAAAACACCCTGGTATTGGCACCAAAACAGACTGTAGACCAATGGTACAGAATAAAGGACACAGACACTAACCCACAAATTTACAATTATCTTATATTAGACAAAGGTGCCAAAAACATGCACTGGAGAAAAGATAGCATTTTCAACAAATGGTGCTGGGAAAACTGAAAATCCATATGCAACAAAATGAAATTAAACCCAAATCTCTCAGCATGCACAAAACTCAACTCAAAATGGATCAAGGACCTAGGAATTAAACCAGAAATTAAACTTTTTCATCTAATAGAAGAAAAAGTAGGCCCTAATCTTCATCATGTGGGATTAGGTTCCAACTTCCTTAATAAAACTCCTATAGCACAAGAATTAAAACCAAGAATCAATAAATGGGATGAAATCAAACTAAAAAGTTTTTTCTCAGCAAAAGAAACAATCTGTGAGGTGAACAGAGAGCCTACATCCTGGGAGCAAATCTTTACCCCTCACATATCAGATAGAGCACTAATCTCTAGGGTATATAAAGAATTCAAAAAAGCTCTGGCTGCTTTCCCTTCTTGAGTGGGCACGGAGCCCCAGCATGCTGGTTCAATAAATCCCCCTTCTGCCAATTGCATGAGTGGTCACTTGGTGGTCTCTTTCTCTGACGTTTCGCGGGACCCTTACATTTGGTGCATTGGCCAGGAAAAGTGCATCGCCGGACAAGGAGACCTCCAACGGACTCCTTTAGGGGGTAAGTAAGGCGCCTCTTCCTCTTCTTCTTCCTCCTTTTCTTCTCCTCCTTGTTCTCCTTCTTGTTTTTCCTTTGCGATCGCTTAGAGCTTTTTGGTTTTTGGCTCGATGGAGAGCGTAAGTTCTCAGAGCTTTTTGGTTTTTGGCTCGGTGGAGAGCGTAAGTTCTCAGAGCTTTTTGGTTCAGGTTTGGTTTTTGGCTTGGATTGGTTTGGTTGGGTTGGCAGCATGGCTGTCAGTGGAGAGTGTAAATTCTCCCTGGCAGTGGTGACAGACGTGTCCTAATCCACAGGCCACTCCTCTTAAGGGACGCCTTAGAGGATTTGGGGGGGGGGGCAAAAGTGCCCCCAGTTGGTAGAGGGACAAGAGTGCCCTCGTTTGTACTCTGCTGCCAACACGTTTGGTTTCGCCGGCAATTCTTAATCTTTGCCTCTAAACTTGTGTTAACAGTTTACTGTTTGTCCTTGTCTCTGTGTCACGTTTGTATTGTCCCTATCTCTGCCTGAGTAACTCCCAGTATGGGACAAAGCCATTCCACGCCTCTGTCCCTGAAGCCTTTCTTGGTCCCTGCCTCCACTCCGACCCCTCCCCCAAGATCTTATCACTCAATCCTTCTGCTCCTCCCCCTTTTCCCTCCATTCTCCTTGAGTCACAAGATTGTAGATCTTGGGGTTGTGAACGAACGGGAGCTGCATGATGATCTTTGTGTGTCTTTTTGTCTGTGTCTCTGTTAAGTGTGATGGCATTGTTTTACTTTGGACCGATGCAGAGTCCCAAATTCCAAACGGCCTTAGATGTGTGGAAGTAACTTTAGCTAAATTTTAACCTAATGCTTCTCCTGTGAGGGACCAAAAGTCAATAGAACCGCCAGCTTTTCTGTTCTCACCTTTTACACCTCTCTTAGCTGTGTTTTAAAGAACTTTGATAAACTTTACCCCCATTTGTTAAGCAAGATTAGGGAAACAGTGTTTTCTTTTCTTCCCGTAGTTGGCTTGAGCACGCCCACTGCAGAGGGAAATGCCTGGGGTCTAAAAACTTTGATATCTCGCTTAAACTTTTCTCAAACTCGAAACAACTGCAAGCAGAAGATGAACTTTTTGGGAAGCTGACTACTGAAAAGTTAGGAGATGTGAGAAATGCCTAGTGCCTGGGGTCAAACCAGGCCAGAGGAACTAATCCTATAAGTAAAAGGTGGAACTAAGGGGCTCCCAGCAGCTGCCAAAGCCATTTTGCTTTGGAGAGTCTCCTCCTTCCTTACCTGCACTTTAGGGATTACCCCACCTCTGTTTGCTTAACTAATGAGACAATAAATGCAGTAATGTGTTGATGTTATAGATTGTTTCTTGGGGATAATCTTGGCTAAATGTGTATCTAAAAGATAATTTTTTTATTGTAACAGTTTGGTATCTGAATGGGTTTCTAAAGCATTGCACTATCTTGCAGTTAAAAGTTGGGTTTAAGCAATTGTTTAGTTTGATTTCTGATAGTTCATGCTAGAAAACTTAAATACTTAGGGTAAAAAAATTAGAAAGTTTCAATTTTGAACTGGGTAGCCTGAGAAAATTCCACTAGGTATTCCAGTGCATTAACTTGGGCAAAGATAATAAATTATGATATGATATCTGTTCCCCTCAGTGTGTAAGATTCAGAAAAAAAAAAGGGGGGGGTGCTAAATTAAAACGTTGGTCTGGCTTATTGAAATGACATTAATTAGCAACAGTCTTGGAAATTTTTAAGGCTTGATTTTGGATATACATGATAAAACTTAATACTACCTTAGGAACTTCAGAACAAAGGAAGCAGCTTAATGATCCTGAGGAAATTTCCTCTGATGGTGGCCTTTATATTATCAGAAAAAGATCCTATTTTCAGTTTTGTGTGGGCAAGTGTTTCTAATGTAAAGAGATATAAAGATATAAAATTTTGAAAATTGTATCTTAAACCTGAAAATTATGACTTATAGCTAAAATGACTTATAGCTATTATGACTTATAGCTATAATGCTGAGGTTTCTGCTCAGAATTCCAGTTTTCCCAGTTCCTTCCAGACCTCAGCCAGGACTTAAGCTGATATGCAAATAGAAGAAGCTTGGGGCACTCAGCAGGAGACAGATTTCAGGCCCAAGGGAAAAAAAAAAAAAAGGTTAAAGTGTCTTTTTACCTGAACTCAAACTAGACCCCAACCAAAAAGTAAATTATATGCTATTTATTAATTACTGGCCAGTCATCTTTTTTAGGACTCTTGCTTTTTCTTAGATTCTGTATTTTTTTTGGAGCTTATGATTTTAATCCCACAGACGGGTTAATGTTTTCTGATCAGTTCTATTTCTGATCAACTGTGGAGTTTTTAAACATTGCAATGGAGATTTCACCTGAAAAAGCTACAAGGGTGTTACACTTGTGTTATGTGTTGTATGTCGGTATGTCTGTATGTGTGTATCTCCATATATCCTGCAGTGATATGACAATTGACAGATGAGGAGCGCTCATAAAAAAATTTAAAAATGGATCCAAATATCTTTGATTCACGTGATTCAAATGGTTCAATTTAAATTGGGTAAACAGATAAAATGATGGTGTCTATAAAATAATCTGCTTAAATTCAGAAATTTACAGATATTGTTTTAAAGTGTGAACAAAAGGAGGTTAACAGATGGAAAAGAAAAACTAGAAAGTTTTAGGTATGGATTTAATAGAGGGAAAATGTGTTTCTGGATAAGAGAGTCTATGTGATTAAGTAATTAAGAGGGTTTAAATAAGTGATAAAAAGGTCTGTGTAAGTTGGTTATATGTGTAAGTTTTTGAGCAAGTAATCTTAAAGAAATTAAAAATTATACAACTATGGTTAAACAACAACTGTTATTTTTCAGTACTTTTCTTGTGCTCTCTTACTCTGCATAATGTTCTTCCAAAACCAATTGCAGAAAGTTTCTAATTAGACTTTCAACCAGCTTCTGCTTAGGCACTACCGGCCTCTGACGACCGATGAACCCCTAGCATCTTCAAGAGAACAGTTCACTCAGTGCTGAAGCTCACTACCAAGCATGATGAAATGCAATGGACATCAGACAGTGGGAGACAACAAGTTCGGAGAATCTCATAATCTGCCATCCTGGATTCATGAGTCTTTATGTCCTTCTGAGCTTCCTCATGGCCCTTGGTCTCTTTTCTGTCAGTCCCCCCAGCATGGAACTTCTGCCAAAAATTGACCTTTGCTTTAATCTTTATCTTCATTCTGTTTTTATTCGCTCTGATTTTCTTCAGGTGCTGGTAACGCCAACTTGGCGCCTATCTGGAAGAACTTACTAATAAACGGG